GAAGGCCAGAAAATCCAAAACGTGTGATTTTACATAGGTTTTCGAAGGATTTGGATGCTTGCTTCGTTTCGGCCTTCCGACGGCCCGATAGCGCCCAAGAGCCCCCAAAGATCGCCCAGGGATCGCCCAAGAGGCCTCCAAGGTGCCCCCAGGACGGCCCAAGAGGCCCCGAAGACGGCCCCAAGAGGCCCCCAAGACGGCCCCGGAGGCTGTTAAGACGCCCACGATGGCCTCCTAGACGGCCCTGGAGCATTCCAAGAGGGCCCCAAATCGGCTCAGAGAGGCTCCCCAAACGGCTTCCGAAGGCGTTGGACGGGCCAGGGGCCCACCAAGACGGCCGAAGATGGCGCTAAGATGGCCCACGACGGCCCAACAGGCCTCCAAGAGGGCCTCCAGGAAGGCCCGAAAAAGGCCAAAATCATTGATGTCCCATGTGTGTTTGAAGGATTGTGGCATTTGCTATTTTGTTGTTCTGTCTTCCGACGGCCCGAGACGGCCCCCAAACATCGCCCAAGAGGCCCAAGACGGTCCCAAGAGGCCCCCAAGACGGCCGAAGAGGCCTCTAAGACTCTCAAGATTGCCTCCAAGACGGCCCAAGAGCCCTCCAAAACGTCCCCCAAAAAGGCCCGAAAGGGTCAAAATGGCCTCCAGGCGGCCAAGATGACCTTCAAGAGGCCACCGTGTTCCCCGAAGGCTTTCCAAACCGATTCGGGGAACACATAGTCCGATAGCTTGGCAGGTCTGACCTCAACGTTCGGCCACATGGGCGCTTCCAAAAAGGCAGGGGGCGGCGGTGATTCGCCGTAGGCGTCTTCGATCCGCCGCCCCCGGTGGTCTTGCAACAAAGGTGCACGGCGTGCCGAATGTCTGGCTATTTGTTGGGTTTCTTTCCTGAAGAGCTCCTAGTGGGGTCTTGGCCCAACCCGCCGGCCACTTGGAGTGCTCCCGAATTTCGTTGACCCTTGGCCCACCCTCGGCTCCAAGACGACCAAGATGGCCTCCAAGATGCCTCCGAGAAGGTCAAAAAGGCTCCAAGCGAGCCCAAGATAACCTCAAGATGGCCTCCAAGACGGTCCCAAGATGCCTCCAAAACTGTGCCAAGATGGTCCAAGAGAGCCCAAGATGACCCAAGAAGCGCGCAAAAGGCCCCTACGACAGCCCAAGAGGCCTCCAGGAGGTCCTCCAGGAAGGCCACAGCAGACCACAATCATACACTGTCTCTTGGTTTTTGGAGGATGTTAGCATACTTCAAAACGGCCTTCCCATGGCCCAAGACGGCCCAAGAGGCCCCAAAGTTTGGCCCAAGATCGCCCAATAATTAAGTCTCCAAGAAGGTCCCAGGACGGCCCAAGAGGCCTCCAAGACGCCCACGATGGCCTTCAGGACAACCCTGAAGCGCCCGAAGAGGGCCGCAAGACGGCCTAGAAAGGCTCACAGGACGGCTTCACACGACGTCAGATGGGCCAGGAACGCCGTAAGACAGCCAAAGAGGCCGCAGAGGAGCCCCAACAGACTCTCGAGCAGCCCGAGGATGCCCCCAACACCCCCCCCCAAAACGCCCCACAGGAGGCCCCCCAAATGACACAAGAAGTTCCTCATTCTTCTCCTCTTCCTTCTTGTTCCTCCCACGTGTTTCCCAATGGCTTCTACGGCGGCTGAGGGAACGCATGGTCCAATAGCGTGGCAAAATGTTGCCCCATTGGCCACATAGGCACATCATAGAAGGCAGGGGCCGCCGGTGACTCGCCTGAATTAGGCGTCTTCGATATGCTATGGAGAATAAGGACATGGACTGAACGAGAGGGGGAGGTAGCCGAGGAGGGACTAAAGGTAGACGAGAGGGATGAGAAGAATCAGGAAGACGTAATACAGATAAGAGGAGAAATATCACCACTGTGGTGGGCAACGTGAATGGCCACCGATGGCAAACGGCACGCTGTGAAAGAAAGAAGATATGGCCTCACTGATGCGACGAGCTGGCTCGTGCGTGTGGGCGGTTTGCCGACCAACAGTTTGAAGTGAGAAGGCCACGCGACACTGCGCTGTGGCTTACGCAGGCCAGAAGCCACGAGGCACATGGCGTGGAGAGACCCTGCGCTTACGCGACACCTTACGCGGGCAACTTACGCGCCAATCTCCGCGCAGATGCCCGCCCGTGTATGTTTCGGCATCGCTCATATGACAGATGATACTGTATAGCAATCGTTCAGAAGAAGCGGGTAGACTCACAAGGCAGGAACGCGTTGGAACTATACTGGATGTACGCCCGCCCCCTGGAAATGGAAGGGGAAACCGTTCGATTATCAAAACAGGAGGGCGCCTAAAATAGATGGGAACCTGGAAAGCACCATGTCCTGCCAACGAGCGATGCCTGAATGTTACGAATATTAGCGAATGGCCGCCGTGGCAAAGATGTTCGCGCTGCAGGCCCCCCCCTGGCCCTCCACCTGAAACCGATACTGAACATAGGAGACGCAAGCGCTAACGCACGAACCCCCGTTAGCAGGTTGTACACGTTCTGTCGTCAAGCAGCATTCGGCAACATCCGCCCGCCAGAACTATCACCAATCGACTGCGCGAAACATGCTGTGAACTCGCTCAAGCTGCAACATGCGTAGACATAAAACGGGCAGCCAGTACAACATGAAGCAGCAAAGGGCATGGCGCCTCCCAAACTCCCATGCAAGCTTCGAGCGCGTCAGCGTACCTGGAAGCGCGCCTCTGCCGTGTTTTTTTGTCTACGGTCACAGATCGGTTGCTTGCGTCTGCGCTTGTCCTTCGCCTCATCTCTCCTCGGGCCTGCCATATTACATATACAGATATGTACATGCATAGTGTTTGAGTACTTTCACATATAATCGTTATCTGCGTTCGAAAAACATATTGTTTGAATACACAGAATTTGCCATGACATATGCATATATCTATAAAAACAAATATCGTTCTTTATACATGTTTACGTATATATGTATGTATCCGTCGTGCTCCCCGGCTCCCACGTCCCTTCGAGTTGTCGCCTACCTACTGATGTCTGGGCTTTCTCCCAACCTCTTTCCCTTCACGTTGTCGCCCACGGCTTGCCCACGTGATGATGTGTCGTCTTGGCGTAGCCATCTCCTCTGATGAGGAGGGATGGTTGGTGTACAGATTTCTTCCTAGGGTTACTTGGTCCACTGACCGAATACAACGAGCATGGTGAGGTACGCACCATGTTTCGTGCGCGCGTATGTGGCTTTGCGGTGCACGCTCTTTCCCCCTCCTCCCTGCGAGGGGTGAAGCTAAGGAGAGGGAGGAAGAGAGGGGCAGGTGGATGGGCGGATGACGACAAGACGAGGAGGCAATGGAGGTGAGAGGGAGGGGGAGGTGGGCAGAAGGGGACTTGGGGCAGAGGAGCAGGAGGCGAAGGAGGAGAACTGTATGACGCCGGGAAGGTAAAGGGGGAGGTCGAGGAGGAATTCGACCCCGTCACCTTCTTCTCCCCCCCCTCCTCCCGCCCGTCACCTCTTTCTTCTCCACCTCCTCCCCCTCCCCTCCCCCCTCCTCCTCCCCCTCCTCCCCTCCTCCCCCTCCCCCTCAACAACTACACAATTACTCTCCTCTCCCCCGAAGATGACGGTGAGGTGTCCTGGCCTCCTCCAGGTTTTGTTTTTTTGCACAGGATGCCTCATAACTGAACATTAATTGGTTCTTCCAATCCAAATGTTTTCAATCCTTTCAGAATGGCGCTCCCGTTACAACGTTGGCTCCATTTTCCCGTTCGCAGCCATTCCCAACCATGTTCCCGCTGTGGCGCTGACCTCATTTCATTGTTTCGGCTCCTGCAAATCGTGTTGCTGCTTCAACGTTGTCTTCGTTTCCGCGCTTCCATTCCTTCCAAATCGTACTCCCACTGCAACGCTTGTCTGATTTCCGCGGTGTCGGTCATTCGTAATCGTGTTCCCGCTGCAACGCTGATCTCAATTTGCGCTTCCCGCTTTCCAAACCGTCCATTTGCATGTTCTGTCCTGTTATTTCTGGTGCCCTCGGACCTTGTCGTCAACATGAATCGCGTTCTCGACGCGATGCCAAACTATGCCGTGCTATACCATGCATCTCGTACTCTTTCGGGATCATTGCACTGTTCGACATTCGACTGTGCGAATAGAGGAGATCTACGCAGTGGTAACGATTGGGAGGGAACGGTAGGATGTCAGATATGACGCTTGCCCCTCTTCCTCCACCTCTTATCCCTCTCCACCTCCTCCTCCACTTCACCTCGAAAGAACATTGCTCTAGTCATGCAGTCGCCGACGCCTCATTGCAACTCAAAATCTTTCACCCCTGCCGACCCCGCAACAGAAAGATACATCAAACCGTCGGGGTTCGAGTCGTGATTTCAAGGACCTCTCAAGCAAATGGCTGGAGGTGGGGCTGGATCACGAAGGGATGTGTTTTCCTTCTCGCTCTGTCGTAAGGGCGACATTTGCCGAGGGGTGGCATTAGGGGAGCTCTTTTTTTGTTTGCTACCCCCATGCCCCTCCCCAGATGGATGAAGGAACTTGATAAACGTGCACTTTTGGAGGCCCACGCGGATATCCTAGATCGGTGCTGGGCTTCACTTCCCTGGTGCGCGGAGCGCGCCAGGGGCACCCAATCCAGGCGCCGTCGGGAACGCTTCGGGTGTCCCAAAACCGTGTGGTGACAGACCCGGCGGTGCCCTCGGAATCCGCAAAGACCTCACCGCACGGGCCGTCAGCACACGGTTCTGGGACCCCGGAGGCTCCAGTCGCCCGAGACATCCTCGGAGAACGACCCAGGTCCCAAACCCGTGCGGTGACCCCGAATCCCCACCGAGACTCACCACACGGTGTGGTCACCACCCCGCTGGGAGCCCCCGAACGCTGCCAAGGGCGCCTCCGGGCGAGGCCGGGGCAGGGCACCGCGACTCGGCCCGCATGCAGGAGGGAGAAGGAGGCAGGGAGGGCGGCCACAGAGAGAGAGCCCCTCGAGCAGGCGCCTTTTGCGCATCGCCGACGTCTGGCCTCCGCCCCTTCCGGCCCCCAGGCACGGCCAAGGGGGGTGACCACTGGGGGGGTCTCCGCCTCCTCCAGGAGAGGGGCCCCCTGGACCCCCCAGAAACACTTGCCGACGCTCGGACACGTCCTTTCCCCGTGCACTGTTCGATTTCGTGCATGTATTTGTCGCAAGACGATCCGCGATGCTCCTCGATGGACCACTCGGAGGAAACTTGCACACGTCCGAGCGGTGCCAGGAACAGCCTCAGGACTCCCAGAGACGCCCCAAACCTCGTGGATCCTCGACCCTCTCCCCTCCACGACTTCGAGGAGAGTGTTGCGACCCCCCTACTGGTGACCCCCCATGGCTTCGGGGGGTGAACAGAATCCCCTGTAGCAAAGCACCCCTCAGCAAAAACGACGCGGGACCAGATCCAGCCATTGCAGGCCCGCAACACTTGCGACTGCCACACCCTCCGGGGAACCGCAAAAGGACAAATTCGCTCATCGACTTGGCAGGGTGAAGGATTTGTTTCATCCTAAGACGATGCCATGTCAGAGACAAATCGGACAAGGACAAATAGGAGATCTCTGAGGTCCGGCGGCTCTGGAGGATGCATCCTGCGCCGCGGCCGTTCTAGAGCGCTCCAAAACGATTTACCCCTGTCCTATATGGCCGCGCCCGACATCTTTCGGGGGCGGCCCGACGCCCAGGCGGGGGCGATCCCTCCTCTGGGGAAGCGAACCACGACATAAACAGCGCGGACTTCTTGGATCGGCGCTGGAGCCCCCTGGCGGCGCTCCAGGCTCTTGCAGACCTCGAGGCAGGGAAACCAACAATGGCACAAGCCCCCAAAACTCTGAGGCCCACACGGGGACTATCGGCGCTGGTGCCCGCCGGCGGCGCCTCCGCGCGCTCAGAGTTTCTACGTTTCTGTCATTGTTTAGCATGGGGGGAAATGGGTCCTGAAGGAAGACTTGGACGCCCAAGTTATCCGGGGTAACTCGGGTCCGGGGAAACTCGGGCTTGGATTCCCGAAAAAGGAACCCGAGTTACCCCTGACCCGAGTTACCCCTGATAATTCGGGGCTCTGGACGCCCGAAATATCCGGGGTAACTCGGGTCCGGGATAACTCGGGTTCGGACTCCCGAAAAACGAACCCGAGTTAGCCCTGACCCGAGTTACCCCTGATGATTCGGGGCTCTGAAAGACGGTCCTGGGCCTCGAGGTCTTCCCCCAAGACCAAATCTTCATCCTGAGTCGCATTCCGGCAGTCCTGGAGCCCGTGGAGGGCCCCGAGAACCTGAAAGCGGCGAAAAACCTCAGGACCCAATTTCCCGGAAACCCGCTTCCCCCTTGGCGAATACTGGGAGCCTGGAGCCTGGGGGTGGAGGATCGACCCACCGACCCGTCCCGCGGCTCAAGCCCCGGGAACGGGAAGCCAGCCTCAGAGGCCCAGATGGGGCGAGAGATGCCAAAAACAACCTCTATACTGGATCGTCGAACCTCGAACCTCGAACCCTTTGAGCAGGGACCGACCGTCCCGGCATTCCTATAGTCCTACCACGAAATGTTCTTAGAACCCAGCAGTGCACGAATAACAAAACCAATGTTCTTAGAACATGATTCCCATGTGATAAAACAAGACAGGCTCCGCTAGAACTGTTCTAAGAACATTTCGTGGAAATCTTAGAACACTGCTTGGTAGGGCTATAGGCACGCCAGGACGCTTCGCGACTGCTTGAGAACGGGGAGCCAGCCTCAGAGGCCCAGATGGGGCGAGAGATGCCAAAAACAACCTCTATGCTGGATCGTCGAACCTCGAACCTCGAACCCCAATTCTCTACTCCAGGGCTGGACCCAAAGGGTGTGTTTCGTTTGCGTTTTGTTTTCGCTTTCCATCGTTTTGCCTTCCATCCGCCTCTGCCGCAAAACACGAAGTCGAAACGAAAACGGCCCACGACATCGCTCAAACACCGTTTACGTAGGTCCAGCCCTGCCTCGAACCTCGAACCTCGAACCCTGGCTCTCTGCTCCACCGCCGGCGCCGAGGCCGCCCCGAGCCTCCGCCCGGAGCCTCCGCTCGGCCCCCTGCATGGGGGTGCGCACCGGCCCCGCGGCCCATCGGCTCGCGCCCCCGTTTGGGACGGCGCGGCGCCCGCCGCACGACTGCGCACCCGGCCATTCATTTCTTGCTCCTCCTCCTCCCCTCCTCCTCCTCGTCGACTGCTTCCTCCTCCTCCCCTTCTTCCCTGTTGCTCCTCCACCTCCTCCGACCCCAATTCGTTACACTCCTCCCCCTGCTCCTCCTTCCGTTTCCTTCGTTTCCGCCTATCCTCCTCCTCCTCCTCCTCCTCCTCCTGTATTCCTTTTCCTTATAAACAACTTCTCCCTGTCGCAACCCGAGGCAAACTTTTAGTGCGGCCTGGCGTTTCGCCTGAGACATCCTCATAATTTATGGCCATGCTTCAAAATGAACGACAGTTTCACAGATGGAGGGCGGGTCGTTTTTCAAAAAGTGGCTCTCGCCTCAGCGCCGCGCACATTCGCCTTAAAATTGTGCAAAAAGGTTCACACATTGAGGGCGGGTCGTTTTGAAAATGGAGCTCTCGCCTTAGCGCCGCGCACATTCGTCGTAAAATGTTGCCACAGTTTCACGGGTTGAGAGCGGGTCGCTTTTTTTAAGGTGGCTCTCGCCTTAGCGCCGCGCACATTTGTTCTAAAAGTGCGCAAGAGATTCACAGATGGAGGGCGGGCCGTTTTCAAAAAATGGCTCTCGCCTTAGCGCCGCGCACATTCGTCTTAAACATTTGCCAGAATGTCATGTATTGAGGGCGGGTCGTTTTGAACATGTGGCTCTCGCCTTAGCGCCGCGCACATTAAAACAAAAACACGACTTTCACGACTCCCATGATCAACGTATCAGAAATCATGTTTTGGAAGGGTTCAGGATTATGAATGTACAACAGTTGCGTGGATTCGGGGCATTGAAGTTCCAAGAATGACGTTCTGGCACGATTCGGGGTCGCCAAGAACCGACAAGCAGGTTGATCCGTGGCGTTGAATCCCGGGAACAATGGTTTGGCATAATTCAGGGTCTTCAAACGGTTGTCTTCCAACGAGGCAGTTCCTCCTGTGGAAATGAACCGATGTAGGGGCCTATGTCGAGTGAGCTTGGAGGGAGGGTTTATTTCAACCAGGTTGGGTTTCCACTGGATCTCCTTACAAACACCCCCTCCCACACTATCGACCACCAAGCGTGTCCGTAGGCCAGGCCAGGCTTTCGTTTGAGACGACCTTATCGGCCACCGTTCATGGAGGCACGAGCGGAAGTGCCCTCGGGTCCTGTCAATGTTCAGTACCCAACCCTGATGAATTCTATCTTCAAAGGCCCGGGCCCCAGATTGCCGCTCTTCCCAGGGTGTGCCGCGCGTCTCCACGTGCCTTCCGAGGCTCGTCGCGCGACTGTTCCTGAGGCCAGGAGGCCCCAGTTGCTCCCAAGAAGGGCCTCCCAGGCGGTCCGAAAAAGTCCCAGGACTGAGCGCCCGAAGAACTTCGAAGGTCGGGGATGGACAGGCCTCCCTTTAGTAAAACGTGGTTTAGTGAAAACGACCTGAGGCCCAAACCTGGCGGGCGGAGGCCTGGAAAATGACGGCCACGGCGCCCTCTCGAGAACCGAAAACGGACAATGCACAAATCGACGCGTCACTGTTGGGGGTTCTTAAAGGGGCCCTGGGACACACAAATAAATACACAAATAAACAGATTCCCCATATTTTCCCATATTTTCTGGGTTTTTGTCTTCCCCACCACTTCCCATATTTTCCCTTATTTTCTATGGAGTCGACGATTAATTGTGTCTGTGTGTTTTTTCCCCTCCTGAGTTCTGTCCACCCCCGATCTAAGGTGCCCTCAAGACAGGAGGCCTCCGAGAGGGCCCACAGAGGGGCCCCCGCTCTGCCCGAGAGGCCCTCGGGGCGGCCCACAGAGGGCCCCCCAAGAGAGAGGGACCCAGGAGGGGGGAGCAGGGAATGCCCCCCCAAGAGGTCCCGTCGTCCGTCGCCCGTCTCCGATTCGTTGTCGTTGCCGTCGTCGTCGGTCGTCGGTCGTGATTCGTCGGTCGTCCGTCGTCGTCGTCGTCGTCGTCGTCGTCGTCGTCGGTCGTCGGTCGTGGGTCGTTGGTCGTCGGTCGTCGGTGGTCGATTGTCGTTCATTGTTCGTCGTTCGTCGGCGCCGTCGCCGTCGTCCTCCTCCTCCTCCTCCTTCTCCTACTCCCCCAATGCCGTCGCTCGCAATCGTCGTTTGCAAGCAACGATTCCGTGGGTGGGGGGTTGGGGGGGTCCAACCCCCCCTGGAAGGGAAGGGGGCACATTTCAACCCCACTTCCCTCTTGCACTGGGGGGGGGGCCCCTGCAACCGGGCGAGGGGAGATGAACCTCACCCCATCTCCACCGACTCTCCTGAATCCCACCAGCCCTGTAGGGCGTGAGTAGTTTAGCGGATGTTGTCTTCCATCTTTGCCCAAACCCTCCTTCCCCTGCTCGGGTTCACCCCTCCCCCTACCTCCTCTCCGGGGCATGGGAGGGGGGGGGACAGAAGGTTAAAGCGTCCAAGATGGCTCCAAGAGGGTCTCATAGAGCCCACGATGGCCTTCAAGATGCTCAAGATACCTCAAGATGGCTCAAGATAGCCTCCGACACACATCCAGGAGGCCTCAACACGACCCCCAGATCCCAGACGGCTTCAAGTGACCTCCGATCCCCCCCCAAGGACCCCCCAAGAGGCCAACATTGCTGAACATCTAACAAGGAGCTGAATGCGTTTTGCCATCTCGGGTTTTCGCTTCCGATGTGCTCTTGAGGCCTCAAGCTGGCCTCACGAGCGCCCAAGAGCAATCCGAGAGCGCCCCAATGGGCCCCTAAGACACCCATTTTGAGCCCTTGAGGGGGGGGGGGGGCTGGATTATCCCCCTCGCTCTTTTTGTGCCATGGGGCCAAAGAGGCCTCACAGGGTCCAAAGAGTGGCCCAAAGATACCACCCAGGAGGCCCTCAGAGAGCTCCCCCAACTCAGGATAGCCTCCGACAGCCTCCAGCCGAACATTGCTCAAGGTATCCTCCAAGAGGCCTCAAGAAAGCCTCCGATCGTATCTGGATGGGCTGGTGGGGATACGCACCGCGCCAAGAATTCAGCCAAACTGACGCAGTGGGTGTGCCAAGGGGGCCCTGCCGCATGGCGCCCTTAATTAGACCTTTCTGGCGGAGGGCTGGGCGCAATAGCATGTGGCTGGGGCGCCACAGCATGCATGTGCCTTTCGGTTCTTTGTTCAGGCATCGGTGTGGCGTCAGGTGACAGATTCCTCAGCCTGTTCAAGGACGGAGGGTGGATCCTTTACCATCGGGCAGACGCAAGACTCGGGTACGGGGGACTCGGTGGACCTGACGGGGCCATCATACAAAGGACGAGACCCGATCTCAAAGTTGACGCGAACTCCCGCTGCAAACATCCCTCGGGAGCGGCCAAGAGGGGGGTGTCCAAGAGGGGGGGGTGCAAATCATGACCGGCGGCATGTGCGCGGCCCAGCGGGGGGGTCAGGAACATAATGAAACAAGAAGAGGCGCCATGAAATCTGGGGAAATATCATGGCACACGCCATGATATCCACCCCCACCTCGTCATCACCCCCCTCTTTTCCGCCCCCGAATCCCACGAAAAAGGGACCGTCAAAATCCGGGTCGCACTCGCCAGACAGCTTCGGCAGGCCCCGGCTCCAGCTCACTCGAGCCTCACGCTTCCCCGATGCCGCAGGGGCCTCGCCTGCGTGGCACCCCACCGGGCGCTCGTCGTTCCAGGCGTGCGCTGTCCCGCAGCGAAAAGGAACAGACCTTCCAGACGCCGATTGGAAGGCGAACTTGGGAGAGGAGGGTGTGCTGCGGCCGCGTCAGCGCATCCTCCATGTGGTCCTCACTCTGCTCCCGCCTCCTCCTCCCCTGCCTTACGTCTCTCCTCGTCCTCCCTCCCATCCGCAACCACTTTGGCTGAAGGCCACTTGGGGGACTCAATCCCCCGTCTCCACGTGGCCTGTGCAACCGACCCCAAGGCGGCCATCCCAAGGGAAGTGCGGAAGGGCGTGCCTTCCTCCGTGCCTCCCCCGCTCTGGTGCCATGGCAGCCTGGATCGCCTGCCACAAGCCCCCTGGCCAGGCGTCCAGCACGACGCTGCGCCCGCTCGTCCAGCGGGATCTCCTCCGCGTTGGTGTCGGCCAGACTCTAGCGGAACAGCCTCAAAGGTTCCTTGCGAAGGCCCGCGGCCTCGACGTCGAGCTCCGCATCATCGAGGAGCTCGACGGTCCCAAGAGATCCAGGACAGTGGGGGTGCCGACAATGAGGGCCATCAGATGGACAACTCCCGGACACCGAGGGCAGCGATCCCAAGGACAACGTGAAGCCCAAGATCCAGCAGACCAACGCCTGCAATACATCCGCCAACCATCTCAATGGACACATGGGTATGAAAGGGCAAGGAGAAGGATGGCCATTTCAACGAGGAGTACATCCCCGAGAGAGAGGTTCTGGTCCAATGCATGTAGGGTCACATCTCGAATGGTGCCAAGAATGATGGCCACTTCACCGACGGTGGCAACATGCAGGGCAAGGAGGGCACCACTATGAAGGCGCCCACGATCCACGGCAAAGAGTGCATCACCACGACGACGATCAAGATCCAGGACAACGAAGGTCACTTCACAGAAGGTGGCACGACTCGCGAGGAGCCCAATCTCAAGGAGGGCATCACTGCCAAGGACCCAGACCATCGACAAGCAGCGGATCGGGGGCCAGCTCTCCGTGGCCAACCGCAGCGTTGAACCTGAGCCCGCTGCTGGCCGAACGCCTCCGTGCCGAGCTCGCGCTGCTGGACATCGCCGCGGCGGGCCCCGCTCCTCGGCTCCGACGGGGAGCTCAATGCCGAAGGCCTTCGAAGCGTTGAGCTCCTTCGCGCGGGCCGCGCAGTGCTCCGCAGAGGGACGAGGCCCGCGGCACGCACTCGACGAATCCCCCCCCGTCGAGGCACGCGCCCGCCTCTGGCACCTCTTCGGCGGGGGCCTCTGTGACCGAGCGGCACGGCTGCCTCATGCCCACAGGCAGGCCCCGTGCCAGCAGCTATAGAGCAGACCTGCCCGGCTCAGCGCTCTTCCCTCCCCCCCCCTGCATCCCTCCCTCCTCGCCCCCCCCTCCCTCGCCCCCCCCACCCGCCCCCTCGCCACTCCCTGAGGCCACACCCGCCCTCCCTGACCCCCTTCTCCTCGCCACTGTCCCCTCCCCCTCCTCGCCCCTCCCCCTTGCCCCTCGCCCCTCCCTCCTCGCCCACCCCCCTTGTCCCTCTTCCTCCCTCCCTCCATCTTGGCGCACACGTTGACCGTCATGCCGCCGTTGCACCACCACCACCACCACCACCTCCCTGCATCCCCCCCCCCCGCCTCCCCTCCCCCCTCCCCCTCGTCCCCCCTTCCTCCCCCCCCTCGTCCCTCCCCCTCCCACTCTCGCCCGCCCGCCGCTCACGGCGCCCTGGCCGGCGGCGCGCGCAGCAGGGCGGCGATCACGGCGGCGTGCGAGCCGCGGTCGTCAACCTCGCGCGCCAGGTCCAGCGCGGTGAGGCCGTCGGAGTCCACGAGCCTCGTCGTCGAAGTCGTCGTCGTCGACGACGTCGTCGTCGTCGCCGCCGTCGTCGTCGTCGTCGTCGTCGTCGTCGTCGTCGTCGTCGTCGTCGTCGTTGCCGTTGCCGTTGTCGTCGTCATCGTTGCCGTCGCCGTCGTCGGCCAGGATGCCATCGCCGTCGTCGTCGTCGATCTCGCCGGCGCCACCGCCGCCGCTGCCGCCGCTACTACCGCCGTCGCCGCCGTCGTCGTCGAAACAGTTGCGAGAGAGAAGAATTTTGGCCGATCTGTAGAAATTGCTCTGGGCGCTCTCGGGTCGACAGTGGCAACTTTGCTCTGAAATCGAGTCGAGCGCGGGCTTGATTCCAATTGTCTTGGAAAGCCCGGCTACGACGACACCGGCTCCCGCCCGATAAGTACTTCCTTGCAATTTCCCTTCGACGCCCTGGCCAAACAGGCGCCCTAAATCGAGAGCGGCGCTGCTCGAAACTTCCGCGCAAGTTACTCAAACTAATTACGACGACAAGGGCTCCCGCTCAACACGTCTGCGTAATCTACCTGAAGACGCCCTGGCAAGAGAGGCATCACGATGGGCGCTCTCGCTCGAGACTTCGTCCGTCGAAACTCATTCAAGGTGGTGAAGGCCCAGTTACGGCGACAACTGTTCCCGCCTGAAACTTTCCCATAACACAAAAGCGGCGCTCCCGCTCGAGACTTCCACGCAATTCGACGACAACCGCTTCCGGTCGAGATCCCCCGACAGTCTTATCGGGGGCGCTCCGGCCAGACTGGCCCCCAACACACAGGAACGGCCCTCTCGCCCGACACTTCCTCGCAATTCAATCAGGTTGGTGAATTGCCCGCGGGTGCGTTAGCTACCATTGCGGCCATGAGGCTGGTTCCTGGACTTGGCGGGCTAATGCAAGAGGAAGGGCGAACCAAACGACAGTCAGAGCTGCTTTGGGGATCGCATCTTCGCAAGATGGTCGCCGTCGTCGTCGCCGTCGTCGTCGCCGTCGTCGCCGTCGCCGTCGCCGTCGTCGTCGCCGTCGTCGTCGTCGGTCGGGAGGGTCGAGGCTCTGGGGGGCTGCTGCTGGCCGCACCAGCGGCCGCCTCGGTTGGCCGCCCCCGAGGCGTGCGTGCGTGCGTGTGAGAGAGAGAGAGAGAGAGAGAAAAAAAAAAACAAAAAAAAAAAAACAATAGAGAGAGAGAGAGAGAGAGAAAGAGAGAGAGAGAGAGAGGAGGGGAGGTCCTCCTCGGGTATTCTCTTGTGTGTGTTAGGGGAGGCCCCTCTCGAGCACTTCTTGGGGGTGCCGAGCTTTACTTCCGCCGCCCTGCCGCCGCCCTGCCGCCGAGGAAGCGATGCCCACCTCCCGATCTCTGGCAGGCGAGGCCATCCCTGGAGCGCCCTCTGCGAGGGGAGGCCCTCCCCCCCAGCGCGATCTCTCTCTCCGGGGGCGGCCAGGAGGGGGGCGTCCACGAGTGGGGGGCGCAGATCATGGCCGGCGCCCTGTGCGCGGCCTTTAAGGGGGGGCCAGAGACGCAATGAAATGAAAGAAGCGGCATGAAATCTGGGGAAACGTCTCCTGGGGAACCGCAGTTTCACCTGAATGCGCTGCGTACGCCCCTGAGGCGCGATGCTGGGTCGGGTTCGATGGGAAATCCGCCGATCCGGCGTGTGAGTTTCAAGGAGTCTCAGCTACAGCCTCGAGGCTGAGCTTCAGCCTCTGGGGGGGTCGCCGGGGTGGCTCTGCCGGGGAAGGGGGGGTGGGGTGGGGGGGGGGGGGTGCGAGTTTCCGGCGAACCCCGGGGCCGCTCCGGGGGAGTGGAAGATAGGGGGGGGGGGGGCGCCATGCTCCGCTTTTTCCGGCGCTTTGGAGGAGGGGGGGGGCCCAAGAGACCCCCAAGGGGTTCCAAGAGGGCCCCGAGTCGCCGAAAAATCGCTCCAAGACGCCCGAGATGGCCTCCAGACGGCCCAAGGTGTCTCCAAGACGCCCCAAGAAGCTTCCAAGAGGCCTCCCAAGAGGGCCCCAAGAGGCCAGAATCGTTGATTTTCATTGGTTTTCTCAGGGTTTTTAGCGTTCTTGCCTTTTCGGGCGTCCGACGCTCGAAGACGGCCCAAGAGGCCCCCAAGTCCGTCCCAAGACGGCCCACGATGCTTCCAACACGGCCCAAGAGAGCCCCAAGACGGCCCAAGAGGGCCCCAAGACGGCCCAAGAGGGCCTCTGGACAGCCCAAGAAGGCCCCAAGAGAGCCCCAAGAGGGGCCCAAGAGGGAGACCACGAACCGAAAGAACCGAGCTTTCCGCCCCAAGAGGCCCCCAGGAGGCCCCAAGAGACCCCCAAGGGGCCCCAAGAAGCCCACAAGAGGCCCAAAAGAGGTTCCAAGAGGCCCCAAAACAGCTCCCCAGAGGCCTCCAGACTGCCTCCGGCAGGCCCCCGGTTTCTTCCGCGGCACCGCCCAGGGCGCCACCGGCAGGATGTCCTCCGTCTCATCGTTTTCCTTCAAGTTATCGCCTCTTCCTCATTCTCCTCCTCCTCCTCTGCGACCTCACTCCTATCCCTCAACGATCGCGTCACCGAGTGCCTCTTCTTTGAAACATCCTCGCTCTTCAAACGCACATCCATACACACATGCATACATACCTACATTTAAACACATTTGCATACATAGAAAAACAATCTTCCAGACATACATACTTACATTCACACACATACACACATATTATCATACACACATACAAACATACATACAAACTAAATACATACATACGCGCACAAGCATACATACATACATACGTACCTACACACAGGCACACATGATCAATGCATGCATACATGCATGCACGCGTACATACACACACATATATCGTGAAACTCACCGCGTGCTCGAAACTTGAGAGAGACCGCGGGAAGTCGAGAGAAGCCGCGGAACGAGGCCTCTACTACTACTACCACTACTACCACAACCACTACTACTACTACTACTACCACTACTACTACTACTACTACTACTACTACTGCTACTACTACTACTACTACTACTACTACTAATACTACTACTAGTACTACAGGAGCGTTTCCCAACTAGTATGTGTGTGTGGGTGATGCTGTGTGCGCATGTCTGCGGCGCAGGTTAAGTGGTGTGACTGTGTGTGTGCGTTTGAGTGTGCGCCCATAATTTCTGCGTCTGGAGAATAACCCCGAGCGACCCGGATCGGCGGCACTGGCCGAAGGCCACTACAATATCATGGCCCACGCCATGATAGCCCCCCCACCCCCAGTCACCACCCCTCTCCTGGCCGCCCTCGCTCTGTGGGGGAGCCCCTGCTCACCATCGCTCGGACGTCCATTCCTTGTGCTTTTCTCGGCTCCGTGCGTGGTCTTTTCGCCAAATGATCAAGGATGCTCCTCGATGGCCCTCGCCGAGGAAAAATGCACACGTCCGAGCGATGCCAAGCCCGGGAGGCCCCCGGGGGGAAAGGCCGGCGCCTCCGGTCCGCCCCGCCCCACAGCAGCGCGGCGACGGCGCCTGGGGCGGCGCGCGGCAGGGCGGCCGAGCAGGGGGGGGGGGCGGCCCTCTTCCGGGGGGGGGGGCAGGCCGCGCGCGCGGGGGCCCCTTCGGCGGCGAGCGAGGGGGGGAGGTTGAAGCTCGCTGAGGGGCAGCGAACGCGATCTGTGTTTCTGGGGCGACGGGGGAGAGGGCAATGCTTTTGTAGGGCAGAAGCAAGCATGAGAAGCCCAATCGTCGGCAAGAGTAAACCTGAAATCAGAGCTTCTCGCGAAGGGCGGCTGTAAGGATGGTTGTTGACCGATCAAGCGCGCCCGCCGAGCGTACGGGGATCTGGCCCTGGAAACATCGCTGCCCCCCCAGCGACCTTCAAGGGGGAGTGGGCGTGAGGAGGAGCAGGCCTTCTCAGAGGGCGGCGGGGCTTCTCAGAATCGGGCTCCGACTTTCGCAAGGGCTTCCTGTGCAGTCGGGGGAGGCTCGGAGGAGCACTCCTCGGGAAGCCCCGGGGACTTCCGAGCCTTCTGAGAAGGCCCGCCTCTTGTCACTTCCCCCCCTCCGGGGCTCGCCGCCGATCCATGGCAACCGTGGGGGGCGGGGGCAGTGACTCAGCTCGCGCAGCTGGCTTCCCTGGCGCCGGAGGTGCGCATGCATCGAGGGCAGCGCCGGGCGGCGGGGCCGGAAGCAGCAGATTTCGCCCCCACGCCTCCCACGCCCTCCTCCGCACGCGCCGCCCCTGGCCCAACCCCTCCTGGCCGCCGCAGCCTGGCCAAGCCAGGACGGCGCAGGCAGCGCTCCTGGGCCCAGGGTGGGCCCCGCCAGGGCGGGGTTCCCGCCGCCCAGCCCCAGCCCCGCAGTCCTCCGACCCGACGAGGAAGAGGCCAGGGGGGGCCTCTCGCGAAGGGCACCCGAAGGCCCCTGCAGAGGGCCCCATCGCCTCTCTCGGAGAGGGGCGGGAGGGCCTCCGAGACGCCCCCCCGCCCCGCACCCTTTGCCTCCTCGGAGTGCCGCTCCTCCCGCTCCGCCCCCCTTTTGCGCGCCGCCGGAGCGCCAGGGTCGTTGGCCTCCACGGCGAGATGGAGCGGGTAGCAGAAGCCGGGCCGGCCCCTCCTTCAGGTGCCGCCACTTAGAAGCGCCCTTGGCCTAAGGTGCCCCCAGGATTTCCAAGGAGGCCTCCAGCAGGGCTCGAGCCAGACAGTGTTTCCCGTTGTCGTTTTATTCCCAACCATCCTGTGGTGTTGGGTTCTCGTTTGGAGGACACAGCGCCCCGTGTCTCCTCACTCACCCCTCCTTCTCCTCCCCCTCCCCTCACTGCCTCTGCTCTCTCGCATGCCCATGTGGGCGCACATCTCACACGCTTCGTGGCTCCATAGGGAGCTCCACCGACGGTCCCAGCGGCGGGGTCCGCATGCAGTTCCACCTCCATTTCGGCGAAACCCTCGCACGTTTCGTTGCCCCATAGGTTGCTCCACAGAAGGCCCCAGTGGCAGGGTCCGCATGCACTTCCACCTCCATTTCGGCGCACCCCTCACACGTTCTGCGCCCCCATAGGGCGCTCCGCCCAAGAGCCCAGTGGCAGGGTCCGCATGCAGTTCCACCTCCAGTTCGGCGCACCCCTCACACGTTTCGGTGCCCCATAGGCCCATAGGGAGCTCCACCGAAGGTCCCAGTGGCAGGGTCCGCATGCAGTTCCACCTCAATTCCGACGCACCCCTCACATGTTTGGTGGCCCCATAGGGTGCTCCGCCGAAGGCCCTGGTAGTGGCAGCGCCCGCACGCGGTTCCACCCTGCATTCGGGCGCACCCCTCACACGTTCCGTGGCCTCACATGGGGCTCCACCGACGGCTCCAGTGGCAACGTCCGCATGGCGTACCCGTGTCAATTTTGGCACACCCGTCACACGCGTCGTGACCCAAAAGAGATTCACCGAAGTCGATACCCACAACTGCGCTACTTCAACTGCACATGGTTGCGTCCCTCGCCAGGATCATTTTCCGTTATTCCTCGTTCTGTCTTCGTTCCACCTGTGCTGCACAACAAACTCCAAACGAAACCGGTCCACGAAATCGCCCAAACACCGTTGAGCTGGAGCCCTAGGAGCACCCCTCACGAGACCCAGAGAGCCCCCAGCATTGCGCGAAGACCAGGGGGGCACATTGGGGCGGCCAGGGGCAGCTATTCAGCACCCCCCCCGCTCCTGCTCGTCCGCTCGCCCACCCCCAGGGCACCGGAGGCGGCCAAGAAGGCGAACAGCCGCACGCGGAGCTTCTCCTGCTCCACGTCGTCGCGGGCCGCCACGAACACGGGGTGGTCCTCCTTCAGAGATCTGCTGCTCCGGGTCAATCCAGACCCTGGTCAGTCAGGCAATGCAAGATCCTGCAGGATCCTGCATCCAAGTCCGGGTCAATGCGACCGTGGCTCTGCGGGATCCTGCAAGATCCGGCGCTCTGACTGACAGTTTGCATTGACCCCCGTTGCTTGAGCCCCGACTCCTTGTAGCCCAGTTTGCACAAGCTCGCTAAGGCATCGCGGCTACGCTGCAGCATCTCCGCGTCTTCGGGAGCCTGCTGGCGCTGCTCGCCGGGGTCCTCCTGCACGTCCTGCACCACCTGCAGCTTGCCCAGGTCTACCTTGAGCACCCACTGCCTCTGCTGGCCGACGCCGTCGAACCGGATGAGGGCGTCCCCGTCCTCGTCGAACCGGAGCACCCTGCCGCACTGCCCGCGCCGGAGCTGCGGCGAGCCCTCGGCGCTGGAGCGGAAGTCCTCCGCGGGGAAGGCTTGTGGCTGCACACGGGCAGCCCCCGCGGATCGGGCCCCATGCCTGCCCCAACAGAGGCTCCCCCAAAAGCACCCGCGCCGCCCGTGGCTGCGCCCCGAACCGGACAGTGCCAGTGGTGCAGAGGCCGCCCCGAGCTTCCCCCTGGCGGACCGCTATGTGTGTGGACCGGGCCGCGACAGGACCGCAGGGATGTGGCGTGCGGATGCAAGGGCCCTGGACAAGCGAGTTGGAGCCTTGGACCGAGGATGGCCAGCGACTGTGGCCGAGGCCGGGCCGAGGATGCAAAAGGAGGAACGGGCGCCCTCGGACACATGGATTCTCGTCCCCGTGACGCTGTTCGACTATACACCCTGCGAAATGCTTAAGAAATCATGGGTTAAGAAATTCATATTCTCAGAACTTGAATAAAAACCCAGAACTTCTATCAAAATCTTGGGAGTTACATTGAAACATTAAGAATAATCGAGACCCTGGCCGAAATTTCAAGTTTTCTTAAGCATCGCCTAAGGTGTACCCCGCAGCCGCCGGGGGCTGTCTGTGCACAGCTCCAAAAAAACATTTCGCCGGCGCGCCTCTGCTGGGCGCCACCTTCCGAGCTGCGTTAAAAGTCGTGGCGACGAGGGCTCCCTCCCGGAATGCCGTAGAGACGAAGGAGGAGCGGGAGGAGTGGAGTGTTGAAGGTCCAGTAATTACCTGTTTTAACAAGGCAGAATTGAGAAAAGACGAAGACCTCTTGAGTATATTCGAAGACTATTGTAAGATCTACAATTCTGATCACTTTTTGCCCGATGGAGTGTGGAAGGTCCACTGGGGCCTTCACTGTCTCCAGATGCCTCCAGAGGTCCTCGTGGCCTGCGCGGGCCGCCGAAGACATCCGGAGTCCTCCCCTATCCCCTTTGCCGTGCGGTCAAGGGACCCAGAGGGAAACACGTCCTGGGCCTCCCTGGATTCTTATAGACTTCCCTGGAGCACGACGACCAAGGAAACCACTTCCCTCAGGGCCCCTCCGACTCAATCTGGCCCATCCTCCGGAGGTTGGAAGGCTCTGATAGCTCCCAGTGTGTCTCTGGAGGTCACCAGGGGCTCAGGATCGAGGTTTTCAGAAGCACCTGGAGGCCCGCGGAAGCCCGCAGAGGCACCCAGAATTCTACTCCTGCCCCCCGTTGCCATGAAACAGTGTGGCTCTGGGGTAGCGCGTCCTTGGTCCACGTGCCTCCCCAGATCCATGCACTCTTCCTTGGAGTCCTGTGACGACCCACGTGGCTCGCCAGGATTAGGTCACAGGGCCCAGGAGCTTCCCCCCTCAGGTCCCCATCTGGTCCAATGGGGCCTTCCTCTGCCTTCTCAATCACCGCCGCCGCTGCCGTCGCCGCCGCAGCTGTCGTCGACGTCGCCGCCTTTCTCCAGCACCCGCACCGCCGCGGCCTCCGCGACGGATTCACCCAGATGTCCAGAATGCTCTGGATGCCCAGGAGAAAACCAAAAACGCTCCAAAACCTCCGGCCCTCCGGCACCCGCACCACCGAGCCCTCTGCGATGGAGTCCCTCGGAGATCCCCGGATGCCTCTTGAAAACCTCGGAGGCTCACGAGAGGAGGGCCAAGATCGCCCAAAAACCTAGCTCCTCGATGCTCGAGAGCCTGCGCCACCGTCGTCACCGTCCTTGCTGTCGTCTTCGTCGCGGCGGCCTTACCAGCCTGGAACGTATCCCTATCCCTATGTTCGGCATCGCCTCATCACGATGGCGATCTTAGGGATTCCCTCAGTTTCTGAGGGTGCATCCCTAAGATTGTCATCGCCTTTTGGCGTGACAATCTCAGGGATGGGGACACGTTCGAGGCTGGTGACGGCCGTCGCCCCCGTCCTTGCGGTCGCCGCCATCCTCGCCGCCGCCCCCGTCGCCGACGTTGCCGCCGCCGCTTGGCGGACGAAGAACGGCACGACAGAAACTGCCTCGCCGTCGCGGACGCCTGCCCCGCAGGGGCATGAGCTTTCCAGCCGCCCTCGGACGAGCGTCCACGACGGCGGAGACGGTTACTGGGCGCCCGAACTATCCGGGGTAACTCGGGTCCGGGGTAAGTCGGGCTCGGGATCCCGAAAAACCAACCCGAGTTAGCCCTGACCCGAGTTACCCTGATGATTCGGGGCTCTGGACGCCCGAATTATCCGGGGTAAGTCGGGTCCGGGGTAAGTCGGGTTCGGAATCCCGAAAAACCAACCCGAGTTAGCCCTGACCCGAGTTACCCCTGATGATTCGGGGCTTTGAGGTTACCTTCTTCGGGTCTCCGTCGTCTCTGTCGCCGCCGTCCTCCAGCACCCGCACCACCGCGCCCTCCGCGACGGAGGCGGCCCGCCCCCGGCCCACCACGTCGCACTCCACCGGCGCAGCCCGCTCCGGCCGCCGCGCCGGCGGGGAGGGCCGCCGCGGCGGCGGCCGGCGCGGGGGCGCCTTCTTCTTTGCCGCCGCCGTCGTCGCCGCCGCCGCCGCCGCCATCGCCGGCGCAGGTGCTGGCGGCGGCGAGCGCCGTCGTCGGCGTCGCCGACCGCAGCGGCGCAGCCGCGGCGGTCGGCGGCCGCGGCGGCGGCGGCGCAGCCGCGATCGCCGCCGCGATCGCCAGCGCTGGCGGCGGCGGCTCCGTGGTCGGATGCGCGGCCGCGGTGGGGCGCCTTGCCAGGGGCGACTGCGCGAGCCCGAGCGGCCAGGCCCTGCAGCTCGGCGCACAGCTCCTACATGTAATGGCGTCCTCCTCGTCCTCCTCCTCCTCCTCCTCCTCTCTCCTCCCTCTCCTCTCCTCCTCTCCTCCTCCTCTCCTCCTCTCCTCCTCCTCCTCCTCCTCCTCCTCCTCCTCCTCCTCCTCCTCCTCGATGATGTAGACTCACTGTAGGCCCGTACGGACGGGCACTTTCGAGCTCTCGGGAATTCTCACGCCGACAGGTCGGCCAAACAGGGGGCCCAAATGCAGGGCCGCCCTGCCAATGCGTGGAAGTGAACGATTTTGAAGGGGAAGCCATATTGCTGGCCGCTTTCTGGATGTATGTCGGCGCGGCAAAGCCCTCACCTTGTAGCCCCAGCTTGCAATCACACGCGCCAGCAAACACAAGTCTAAGAGGGGGCCGATACCCAGGGTTAAGATCCAGAGAGGTGTGAGGCTGCTCGAGAAATAGTGGCGCAAGTTGTCGAGGGAGAGGGGGCCAATCTCTCGGCAACCGCCCCTTCTCCACAACCTCCTTCTCCTCCTCCAGATCATCCGTCGGAGCCTCGTGGTCGTCTTACTACACCCCGGGAGGGAGAGGGACAGGAGTTTCTAGCCAACGCCTGGCTTTGGAGGCAGACTCAGTGGGTCTGTGCCCGTTGCCTGGCGTGAGCGTGCGAGGACAGCACCAAGTCTCTCAAGAGCAGGCTCGCCTGCCCAGGCCACAACAGTCCACTGTCAGGTTCAGTTCAAGAGCCTAGGGGGCACAGGCTCTTAATGATTTTTTTCTTAGGACAGATGAGGAGGCCTCTACCTCGAATGTGCGAGGTGCGGGGTCCACACTTCAAGAGATTTGCGGTGGTTGGCTAGGAAATGCCATGGAAGTTTCTCGCCTGATGTCCAGCAACACCGCTGGAGCAGAATGTTGAAGGGGCAGCATCCACGGACTGAGAAGGGGAAGAACATTGTTTTGGGCCCCCATGAGTCCAGAGTGCCTCCAGGGGGCAGCCCGCCAGCAGTGTAGCGCAATGGAAGGCAACAGGAGCAGCAGCAGCAGCAGCAGCAGCAGGAGCAGCAGCAGGAGCAGGGGGTAGAGGCGGGGCCTCCCTCGTGCGAATGCGAGGCCGCCTGCCAGCGCTCTCTGATGGGTAGAACGAGGCAGGGTCGGATTATTCGTACTGGTCGTCAACCTCCCCCTCCTCCTCCTCCTCCTCTTCCTCCTCCTCCTCCTTTTTCTTACGTAGGCTGCCGAGCGCACTCGCTCGTAGCGTCAGCTAATTCCTCCTCCTCCTCCTCCTCCTCCTCCTCCTCCTCCTCCTCCTCCAGGGGCGCGCACGGGAGGGGAGGGAAGCGAGGAAACACTGAGCGCCACAGTCGGTGGGCCAGGGAAGACGAACAAGCCAACCAGAGGAGTCGGAGGGCGGCGAGGGAGCGTCGTGCGCGCCCGGTTTTCCATGGGCGCGCCTGCTTGCCGTACTGGAGGGAGAGGAGGGGAGGGGAGAGAGATGGAAGGAGAGAGGGAGGGGAGGACGCATGCGGGCTTTCATAGAGAAACAGTAAGCGGGCGACCACACACCAACCGCTCGTAGGAGGGGGGGTGGATGAGGAGGAGGGCGATGTTGATGAGGAAGAGGAAGAGGAGCAAGGAGGGGTCCAGATCCGCCACTCCGGCACTGTGCCCTCACGGAGTGGGCGCGCTAGAATGCTCTTATGTTTTCAGGTGAAATGTTTGTTCGCAAGTCCTAAGGCCGCCCACCCCCCTGAGTCGCGCACGAGGTCTGAAAATCGCCCCCCTTCGCCAAAGCAGGTTTTGGAACATTTCCCATCCGCAATAAGAAATCACACAAAAGACAATGTGGGCCGAAAATACCCCTCCCCCCCGAGTGGGGTCAAAACAGGCTCCCCTTTGGGATGTCAAGACAGGCCCCCTCGAGAGGCGCCCAAGGGGCCCCAACGAAAGATGCCCTGGCCCACCAGAACCTTCAAAAGGCCTTCAAGACGCCCCACGAGGCTCTGAAGATCGCCAAGACGCCCCCAAGACGTCCCAAGAGGCCCCCAAGAGGCCTCCAACGCGCCCAGAGAGGCCCCCCAAGAACCCAAGAGGCCTTCAAGACACCCCGAAAACATTTCAAGAGACCCCGAAAAACATCCAAAACACCTCTGCCCCACGGAGGCTCCTCGAGCTCTCCAAATGATGCCGCGTTCCCCCAATAAGGGCAGCTCCACGTATCCTGGATGGGCTGGTGAGGATACTTTTTTGTCGCAGCCGCAAGCGAAGGCGCAAGCGGCGTCAATCGGGTCGGGCGGGCTACGCGCGAACCTAATTGCCTAACGCGCTGGCTAACCGGTTGCCAAAGCAGCGCCCGAACAAACCGGATGCGAGAGGCGGCGCGGGCTGCAGCTGCCAGGAAACAGGTCCACGAGCGAGCGCGTGCAACAATTTGCCAACCAAGGTTGGGGCACAGCCAAAATTGCGCGGGAGCGATGCCAGGATGAAGCCAGGAGCACCATCACGAAGGACCGCTGACACCAGCTAGGCCAAGGAGAACTCACTGACCACAAAACTAGCGCATGGAAAAGGCGCCACCAAACGCGCGCAGAACAAAACTCCTGAAGGGCATGCTGATCCGGGCGCTTGTCGTCAAACCGTGAACAGAGGAAACGCGCACGGCAAAGCCGAGTGCCAGTGGAACGATGGATGCGATCAACACCGTAATTGAACCTGAGACAACGGATCAAAGGAACCCACGCGCAGACCCGAACTAGGTCGACGACATCTGAAGAGAACTGTCCAGGAACTGGGCAGGTGCACGCCTCATGCGCGTGGTCGAGTGAACGCGGAAAGCGTCGAAGACGCGATGCCAGGAAACCGCGGGCGTAGTCGACGCAGTCGGCCGACGGCGGTCAGAGAGCACAGGCTGGACCACGTGCACTTTGGGGCCCCGTGCGCCAACGAGGAAGTTGGGCGCGTGGAGCAGGGGGGCGCAGGAAGCCAGGGCCGACAGGGCCGCCGCGGGCACGGCTGCCCGAGGAAGGCGCGCGCGCAGAGGGGCCAGTGCCAAGAGAACCGAGCCGGGCCGTGGCCAGGTCCGGGCAATGGCCAGGGTGGAAACAACTACAACCAACGGCCGAGGCCGCGAGGCACGTCGCCCCCGCCCCAGCGGGGGCCTAGCTGGGGCCAGCGCCAGGGAAACCGAGCCAGGCCGTGGTCAGGTCCGGGCAATTGTCAGGGAGAAAACAAATACAACCAACGGCCGACTAAGGGTGAAACAAGGGCGGGGGCGCCCGCAATGCTAGAGCTGACGACCTTCCACTGCTTCGTGCCCTTCCTGGGAGCGCGGCTGCCAGCGCGGCCCTTCGCCGCCCGGCACCCCTTGCCCGCGCCGTCGCTGCGACTCAGGTATCGCTGCCGCAGCTAAACCGAGTCAACGCCGAGGTCCAGCGCGTCGTTCATGGCCCGCGCATCGAGGTTGTGGCTGCGGAAGGAGCACGTGAAGTTGACGCAAGTTAGCTGGTCGTGCCGTAGCGGGTCGAGCGCGCCACTGGCGTGCTGCTCGGCGAGCGCGTGCCGAGCGCCTGTGAACATCGCACCCAGGGTGACTTGAAGCCGCTTCACCGTCCTGCCAGGGGTCTCTCGGGGGGGGGGCCCCACTGGATGCCGCCGATCTTGATTTTATACAACTACTGCCCCGTGTCGGGGTCTAAGGGTTCCAGCCGCTGGCGCGCGGCGGGCCTCGCTTCCCAAGGCGGGGTGGTCAACGGCTGGTCCTTGGCGCGGCGGCTGCTGCTGCTGCTTCTGCTGCGGCTGCTGCTGTCCGCCAGACCCGCCAGCGCGGTCGGCGTGGCCAGGGGCCAGGTTTCGACCCGAGGGCGGCGGGGAGACTGGAGAGTCGCCAGTCGCAGAGGCCAGACAGCGCGTCCACCCGCTGCCAGGCAGACGCGCTGGAGGAACGTTTCGGCCGCGCTGCCGTCGTTCCTCGGCGCTCGAGCTCGCGCCATTGCCAGGGGGGGGGGGGGGGGGGGGGGGCAGGGTGAGGAGTGCCAGCCAGGCTGGGGAGTGTGGCGCTGGGTGGTTGCCTGTTCCTGCTCGTGCCCATGCTCCAATTCCTGTGCTGGCGCCGCTTCCGCGCCCTCCCCGTGAGCGGCGGGCAACTCCTGCTCATCTAGAGGCCTCCTAGATGGGGTCGGAGTAGATGGTGTCGAAAGATCCCGCCGCATCGCCGATGCATCGGCGATGCATCGCAGATGCATCGGCGACGCATCGGCCATGCACCGGCGACGTCGGCGATGTGGAGCAAATCGGGCCCCGCATCGAGCCGCATCGCCGATGCGTCGGCGACGCATCGGCGATGCGGCGAACTCTTTCGACCCCATCTACTCCGACCCCATCTAGGAGGCCCAGATCATCGGGATCTTCCGGCTCCTGCTCCGCATGCTGCTCGCTACTCTGCGACAGCTCCGACTGGTTGGGCCCGCCGCTAGAGTCGCCCATGGCTTCGCGCGGCACGGCGGCCACTGGGGCAGGGGCGCCTGGCGGGGCCATGCGGGTCGGCGCGGGCCGCGGGGTTGGCCGCCGAGCAGGGGGCGGGTCGCCTCCGGCGGCTGGGGCAGAGAGGGGCGCTGCACTGTGGCATGCGAGGACAAGCCCCTCTCGCTGGCGTTCGCCTTCGGACCCGTGCCCGCCCTCGTTCACGGGCGCGCCCCCATCTGTCGCCGCGAGACTATCGCCAGATTGGGAGTGCCGTGGGTCGTACCGGGCGCAGGCGCGTTCTCAGTCGCCTTCCCCGACGAGGCCCGGGCTTCGAGAGGGAGTGGCTGCGGTTCGCTCTCCGCTCGGGCGGATTCGCTGACAGGGGAAGGAGGGCGAATGGGCGCGAAGGGACTTCTCTCGACAAGCTGGCGGATGGACTCGCGATGTCCTGCCTCCGCAGGGCTGGTCCGTTGTTTCCCAGCGATGGGGTCTTCGAAGGCGCCGGCGGCGGCCGCGGGCGGAGTCAAAGCGGGGGGTCGCTGGGCCTCGCCCTCGACTAGGTGCAACGACAGCCCCAGGCTCTCCAGGTCGCGGGCTCCTCATCGGCCGTCGGCCACGGGGATGGCCTCGGAGGCGTCGGCTGGAGCGTCTGCGCCGATCGCGAAGACGCGCCCGTCTGTGGCCCGCGCGCGTGTCCAAGAGTCAGGGGGAACCGGCGCGCTAATGGCTTCCTCCGCGAACCTGCCCCAGGGGCGCCGATTGGAGCGAGGGGCACTAACTATGGGGGTCCGCCTGCCAGTCTCCGGGAGGGGGAGGGGCCGACGCGCCATGGCAAGCCACCACTTGATCAGTCTCGAGCTCTCCATGAGGACTTTTGCAACTGAAGGCCGCATTTTCGGATGCAAATTCCCGAGTGTCTGAATTGGGAGGGACGTCTCCGAGCGCGGGCGCTCCCTCAGCAGCGCCCCCAGTTCTCGCCGCGATGCTGTCTCCAGGAGGGAGCGCGCTTTCGACGGCATTTCGGGGTTCCTCCGCGAACCTGCCCCCGGGGCGCCGATGGGAGCGAGGGGCGCAACGGAGGTCCGCCTGCCGGTTTCCAGGAAGGGGGGGGGCCAGCGCGCCGTGGCAAACGACCGCCTGATCAGTCTCGAGCTCCCCCAGAGGACTCTTGCAGCTGAAGGCCGCACTTTCGGATGCATCTTCCTGACTGTCAGAATTGCGAGGAACGTCTCCGAGCGCGGGCGCGCTTTCCGCAACGCTGCCAACTATCGCCGCGATGCTGTCTCCAGGAGGGGGCGCGTTCCTTTTGCAGCTATGAGGAACGTCTCCGAGCGCGGGCGCGCCCTCTGCAGCGCTGCCAACTATCGCCGCGATGTCGTCTCCAGGAGGGGGCGCGCTCCTTCTGCAGCTGAAGGCCGCACTTGCGGATGCAGATTCCTGGCTGTCAGGATTGCGAGGATCGTCTCCGAGCGCGGGCGCGCCCTCCGCAGCGCTGCCAACTATCGCCGCGATGCTCTCTCCAGGAGGGGGCGCGTTCCTTTTGCAGCTGAAGGCCGCACTTTCGGATGCATCTTCCTGACTGTCAGAATTATGAGGAACGTCTCCGAGCGAAGGCGAGCCCTCTGCAGCGCTGCCAACTATGGCCGCGATGCTGTCTCCAGGAGAGGGGGCGCGTTCCTTTTGCAGCTGAAGGCCGCACTTTCGGATGCGTATTCCTGACTGTCAGAATTGTGAGGAACGTCTCCGAGCGCGGGCGCGCACTCTGCAGCGCTGCCATCTATCGCCGCGATGCTCTCTCCAGGAGGGGGCGCGTTCCTTTTGCAGCTGAAGGCCGCACTTTCGGATGCATCTTCCTGACGGTCAGAATTGTGAGGAACGTCTCCGAGCGCGGGCGCGCCCTCTGCAGCGCCCCCAATTGTCGCCGCGGCCCTGTCTCCAGGAGGGGGCGCGCTTCGGGTCGCATCTCCAGTTTCCACGACGACGATGCCTTAGGGATGCTGATAGGAGTGGGGAACACTATTGGGGTCCGCCTGCCTGCCTCCAGGAGAGGGAGGAACCGGCGCGCTGCGGCTGACGACACCCTGCGCGGCCGCACTGCCGAAAGGCTGGCCGCGGGGCCGGCCGCGGGGCTGGCAGTCTGCAGCCATGGCTGGCCGCAGGGCGGGCCGTCGGACTGGCCGTCAGGCGGGCTGTGGGGCGGGCAGCCAGGCAGGCCGTGGGGCTGACTGTCAGGGTGGTTGCGCGGCTGGCAGTCGGGCAGGCCGTGGGGCTGGCAATCGGGTTGGCCGCGGGCCCGGCCGTCGGGCCCCGGCCAACGCGCCATCCGCCGCCGCCGCCGCTGGCGAGGAACCCGCAGCAACAGCGACAGCGGCAGCAGCGGCGGCGGCGGGGACGGCGGAGCCCCAGCCAAGGCTGGGGCCTGCGCCAGGGCGGCCGTGGCACCAACAGCGGCGGCCGCCGGCGGCGGCCCACGCGAGGAGGCCGCGGCGGCGGCCGCGGCGGCGAGCAGAGAGGGGGCGGCGGCAGCGGGGGCGCACGGGGCCGCGAGCAGGTCAGCCGGCGCCGACGGCACCGGCACTGGCAACGGCCCGGCGCCCGCGGGGGCCGTGCTGGGGCGGCCGCCGGCCGCCGCGGCAGCGCCAACCGCCGCGGCGGGGGCAGGCCAAGCGGCGGCGGCAGCCGGACCGGCCACCACGCCGGCGGCGGCCGGCGGCCGAGCTGGCAGCCGCCGCGGCCGCGGCGCGGCGCGCGCGAGCGGCCGCGAGCGGCCGCAGCGCCAGCGGCCGCGGCAGCGGCGCGGGGCAGCGGCCGGCCCAAGGGCGGCCGCGCGGGCCACGGCGGCCGCAACGCCAGGCGAGCAGCCGGCCGCGGCGGCGGCAGCCGCGGCGGCGGCGGCCGCGGCGGCAGCGGCGCCCGCGGCGGGGCCAGCGCCCGCGGCCGCCGGTGGGCGCGGCAGGGAAGGCGGCTGCCACGCGGAGCCCGGGGCCGCGGCCGTGCGGCGCGCGGCTCCGGCGGCGCGGGTGGTGGCCGGGGGCAGTGGCAGGCAGGGCGGCGGCAACGCGGCGCCGACCAGAGCCACGCCAGGGGCGCGAGCGGCGGCCGCACGACGAAGCCGCCGACGCGGCGCCGTGGATGCCTCGGCGCCGCCGCCACGCGGGCAGCGCGAGCGGCGGCAGCCCAGCGCCGCCGCCGCCGCAGGGGACAACATCGCCCGGGGGCAGCGGCCGAGAGGGGAGGGAGACGAGACCCCCCGTCCAAGCCGCCGCCAGAGGCCCGCGGGCGCGCCCGCCAGGCCGCGGGACCCAGGCCGCGCAGGCCACCTCGAGCCGAGACGGCTTGAACCAAAGCTTGTGTGAGCCAGGCTACGGACTTGGTGAGGATACGCAAAGCGTTAAGAACTCAAACTAATTCCTTCTACGTTGTTGCGAGGGCACGGTGGCGGGGTTTGCCTCAGACAGCTGGATAATGCAGAGACTGAGACGGCGGCTGCCGGTGCGCCTGGAGGGCGGCTGGCAAGTCGCCTGCAAAGCGTCCAAACTCATTCCTATATACTACGCTGTTGCGAAGGCGCGGTGGCGGGGTTTGCCTCAGGCAGCTGGACAATCCAGAGACTGAAACGGCGGCTGCCGGTGCGCCAGGAGCGTGGCAGGCAAATCGCCTGGGGTGCGCCTCGAGCATCGGGCCTCGAGCCTCAATCCTCGAGCCTCGGTCGACTAGAAGAACCCAGCGTCGGACCCGCCAGCTCGCCGCGGCGCTGAAGGGGGCCGCGGTGGCGACTGCTCCCCCTCCTTCCTCCTCCCCGCTTCTCGTCTGCCTCCGCTTCCTGGTTCCTCTCTTCCTCCCTCTCCCTCCTCCTCCTCCTCCTCCTCCTCCTCCTCCTCTTCCTCCTCCTCCTCCTCTGCTCCATCTTCCTCCTCCTCCTCCTCTGCTCCTTCCTCCTCCTCCTCCTGCCTCCCCTTCCTCCTGCCTCCCCTTCTGATTCCTCCTACCTCGCCGCCGAGCCGACGACATCGACGTCGTCTGGAGGAGCCCAGGATCAGCCCCGCCAGCTCGCCCCGGTGCTCTGGGACCGCCGCGGCGGCCCAGGTGACTATCGAGGCCCCGAGGCCGGCGAGCGACTCGGCCAAGGCCTCCTGCGACTCGGCCAGCGCCTCCGCTGGCAGATGGCTCCCCCGCTCGCCGCCGCTCGCCGCCGCCGCTGCATTGCCGTCGGCGTTGCCGCCCGTGCCGGCGCCGGCGCCGCCATCGCCGCCGCCGCCGCCGCGGTCGCCGCCGCAGACGAAGCCAGGACGAGGATAATTTCGAGTGAGGATGCCTCGGGCGCCGCGGCGAACGGATTAAGCCGCCGTTGCCCCCGCCGCCGCCGCCGCGAGTCGGGGTTCTCGGATCGGGGTGTCGGGAAGAGAAGCTTGTGGGGCCTTTTTGGGCCTCTAGGTAGGAGGATCGGGGCTCGATGGTCGAACTTTCTGGGAGCGTTTCTGGCAGTCTCCGAGCAGTCGTCCTGCGGCGTCTGTGGGCTCACTTGACGACATGGTGCACTCTTGCTACTGCTTTCACTGGATGCATGACAGGCGAAATGGGCCGTCACGCCGCGACGCCTTCTGAGCAGGGGGATCGTGCAACGATTGGAAACAGCCTCGGCCTCGGGCCCGCACTCGGTGGAGATGGCCGGCGCCCGTCCACGCGGTCAACAACTCGCAGAGAAAGGGAGGGTGGAGCATGGACGCCTCGCGGCCTGGTACCTATCGGGGGCTGCCAAAGGTGCCCCTGGATCAAAGTGATCCCAGAATGTCCAAGGAAGCCCCGACTGTCGCCGCAACGGAGCGAAGAGCTCAGGACACCTGCCTCCACGTACCCCTCGTCCTCGTCGTCCTCCTCGCTCTGAACATCATTGTCTTCCTCCTCATCGTTGTCGCTGTCTTTGTCGTCGTCCTCCTCCTCCTCCTCCTCCTCTTCCTCCTCCACATCCCCTCCACATCCCCATCCTAGTCTCCCTCGTGCTCCTCGCCGTCATTCGCATGCTCCTCCTTGTCATCCTTGTCCTATTCGTACTATTCCTCTTGATCGTAACTCTCTCTCTCTCTCTGATTTTGCTCTTGCTCCTCCTCTTCGTCCTCATCGTGCTCTTCCTCCCCCTCCTCCTCCGCCTCCTCCTCTCGCTTGTGATTATCCTCCCCATCCTCTGCGTCGTCGTCGTTGTCCGCTTCCGCCGGCGACGACGAAGACAGCGTACCTCCACCACCACCTCGTTTTCGTCGTCGTCGTCGTCGTCGTCGCCATCGTCGCCATCGTTGTCGACGTCGTCGTTGTCGTCGCCGTCGTCGTCTTCGTCGCCGTCGCCGTCGTCTTCGTCGTCGCCGTCCGCCTCCTTCGAGGACTTCGACGTTGACTCGTCGTAGTCGTCGTCGTCCTCCGCCTGCGCGGTCTCCCCTCGCCCTCCGACGACGCTCATACCGCCGACGTCGACGCCGACACCAACGAGGCGACGACTGTGGGGAGGATACCTCCGCGCCTAGAGAGGCCTCTGGAGGTCGGGGTTAGAATCGGCGGAGGCGCAAGTGGTGGATAGCCCAATGGAGGGCATTGCCCACAGTCGCCAGGGAGCCTCGTCGAAAACGTGGACGCCCGAAACCCCTGGATACATGCAAGGCCCACCCACTCCTGGGCTATCCGCCCCTGAAGCAGCCGCCGGCCGGCCTAACGCCCAAGAGCCTCGATGTTCGATCGGCGCTACCGACGTCGACGGCGGCGGCTGGGCCCAAGGAGACACAGGTGAATCGGCACAAATCCAAACATTCCATATGTTTTCCCTGGGCTTTCGCGTTCCCCTCCACTTCCCATATGTTCCAGAATTTTCCCCTGTTTTCCTGGGCATCGACGTGTATGTGTCTGTGTCTTGATGTCCCTCTCCTGAGCAGGGGCTGGGGTGGGGGCCGGCTCCTGCACCTGGAGAGTCAGCACCTCGCAGAGCTGGCAGCCTGCCTGCCACGGTGGAGGAAGGAACGCTGTGGGGCCCCCCTCTCTCACAAGCAACGAACCGACCATCTGGATCAGTGAACCGCTCGTTGTTATAATGCTTGGCAAGATATCTAATCGTAACCGTTAGCGGCAATCATCGGAGGAGGAGGAGGAGGAGGAGGATGCTTGGGAATTGGAGCTGTGTTATGACAAGAAACGCTGAATCACCTTCTCATTCGGATTGGACTGATTTCTGGGCGGAGGTGCCTGGACCGCTCGGGGGGCCCAGGGCGCCCGAGGGAAGGAAAAATGAAGACAGGCAAAACAGGAAACAATCATGGGGAACTGTGTCTTCAAAGGAATAATGCAAACATAAACAGACTTGTGACTGTCGAGCCTGTTATGGTGGAGACGCTCCACACATACAATATTTTTGCAACAGCCTTTACACTAGGATGCCTTGTGTGGCGACCGTACACAAGATGTTCAATTGAGGGGGGATCTGCAGTGGCCTCCACACTTAGAAACCTGGTGCGACAGCCTTTACACAACATTTCGTTTTGTGGCGGCCTTTTTTATATATTATAAAAAAACGAGTTGACATACTGGGGGGATCAGCACTGGCGGCACCTTGAGCCCAGGAAAGCTAAAAAGGAACACAGGAGAAACATGAAGACGCTGGCGTTTGAACTTGGAAGAAATTACGCTACCCAGGACCCCCACATACTTATATTATCCCTGGAGTGGTGGTAGCTAAAAAAAACATGTGAGAATGATGTTGGTGGCCGTTGCCCCGCCGATACCGTTGGTGACGCCAGACAAGAAGAAAATGGCAAGGCCGAAACGGATAGCGACCGCACCCCCAGCGCACCCCTTGTGGCGTCGAGGAAGTGCCACGACTGTCACGCTTTGCGAGGCCGAAACGGATAGCGACCGCACTACCAACGCATCCCCTGTGGCGTCGAGAAAGTGCCACGCCTGCCACACATTGCCAGCCCGAAACAAATAACGACCGCACCCCCAGCGCACCCCCTTGTGGCGTCGAGAAAGTGCCACGCCTGCCAAGCATTGCGAACCCGAAACAGATAGTGACCGCACCCCCAGCGTACCCCCTTGTGGGTGGCGTCGAGAAAGTGCCACGCCTGCCAAACATTGCGAGCCAGAAACAGATAGCGACCACACCCTCAGCGCACCCCCTGTGGCGTCGACACAATGCCACGCCTGCCGCGCCCGGCGAAGCCGAAACGGATAGCGACCGCACCCCCAGCGCAACATTTGTGGCGTCGGGGAGGTGCCACGCCTGCCGCGCTTGGCCAGGCCGAAGCGGCTGGCGACCGCACCCGCAGCGCACCCCCTGTGGCGTCGAGGAAGTGCCACACGTTGCGAAGCCGAAACGGATAGCGACCGCACCCCCAGTGCACGCCCTTTGGCGTCGAGGAAATGCCACGCCTGCCACGCTTGGCGAGGCCGAAACGGATAGCGACCGCACCCCCTGTGGCGTCGAGGAAGTGCCACGCCTGCCACTCGCTGCAAGCCCGAAGCGCATAGCAACCGCACCCCCAGCGCAACCTCTGTGGCGTCGAGGAAGTGCCACGCCTGACACGCTTTGCGAGGCCGAAACGGATACCGACCGCACCCCCTGCGCACCCTTTCCGGTGTCGAGAAAGTGCCACGGCTGCTGGGCCCTGCGACATTGGCGCGTATAGAGACCGCGCTGGGGGACCACCCCCTGCGCACGCCCTCTGGTGTCGAGAAAGTGTTCCGCGTGCTAGACTCGACATTGGCGCGTATGGAAAACGCGGCGAGACCCCCCCCCCCGCACACCGCCTCTGGTGTCGAGAAAGCGCCACGCCTGCTAGGCCCTGCGACATGGGCGCGTAAAGAGACCGCGGTGCGGGACAACCCCCTGCGCACCCACTTTGGCGCCGAGAAGAAAGTGGCACACCTGCTAGGCCTTGCAACAAGGCGCGTATAGAGACCGCGCTGAGGGACCACCCCCCGCACACCGCCTCTGGTGTCGAGAAGGTGCCCCGCCTGCTAGGCCCCGCGACATTGGCGCGTACAGAGACCGCGCTGGGGGACCACCTCCTGCGCGCCCCCTCTGGTGTCGAGAAAGCGCCACGCCTGCTAAACCCTGCGACATTGGCGCGTATAGAAACCGCGCTGAGGGACCACCCCGTGCGCACCCCCTCTGGTATCGAGAAAGGTGCCCCGCCTGCGAGGCCCTGCGACATTGGCGCGTATAGAGACCGCGCTGGGGGACCACCCCCTGCGCACCCCCTCCGGTGTCGAGCAAGTGCCCCGCCTGCTAAACTATGCGACATTGGCGCGTATGGAAACCGCGACGATGCCCTCCCCCCCCCGCACACCGCCTCTGGTATCGAGAAAGTGCCACGCCTGCCAGGCCCTGCGACATTGGCGAATATAGAAACTGCGGTGAGGGACCACCCCCTGCGCACCCCCTCTGGTGTTGAGAAAATGTCACGGATGCTAAGCTCTGCGATCTGGGCGCGTATAGAAACCGCGCTGAGGGACCACCCCCTGCGCGCCCCTTGTGGTGTCGAGAAAGTGCTCCGCCTGCTAGGCCCTGCGACATTGGCGCGTATAGAGACCGCGCTGAGGGACCACCCCCTGCGCATTTCCTCCACGCCTGATCGTAGCCCTGCGACATTGGCGCGTATAGAGACCGCCGTGAACGACCACCCCCCGCACACCCCCCCTGGTGTCGAGAAAATGCCACGCCTGCTTTAAGCCCTGCGACAGTGGCGCGTACAGAAAACGCGCTGACGGACCACCCCCTGCGCACCCCCTCTGGTGTCGAAAAAATGCGACGCTTGCTATGCCCTGCGACATTGCCGCGTATAGAGACCGCGCTGAGTGACCACCCCCTTGCGCACCCCCTGTGGTGTCGAGAAAAGGCCACGCCTGCTATGCCCTGGACGACCCGCTCGGATGGCGACCGCGTTCAGAGACCACCCCCTGCGCACCCCCTCTGGTGACGAGAAAGTGCCACGCCTGCATAGAGCCTCCTGCCATGCACTGCGAATCCTGCACGCACGTTTTGTATATGGCATGTCGTGCGTATGTTTATGATGCGTGTGCGGCCGTATCGGGACGTGTGCCTCATGTGCGTGTGCCCATGATGCAGTCGTGGGTCTATGATGCAGTGAACACGCCAGGCGTGCACTAGCTTTGTATGGTGTGCGCGCGAGTGTGTGCATGCGCGCGGCAGTATGTAGACGCGTGTATCATGCACGTGCCGTGCAGGTGTTGCGCGTGGGTGAGGAGAGGAAGAGGGAGGAGGGGAAGAGGGATTTCCGCTTCGCACCTTCTTTCTCCAGACTTGGCAGACGCGAAGCGTGCAGGAGAAAAACCTCAATGCCACGAAGTGTGGCTCTTTTGGGGGTGCTGCATCTGCCACAGGCCACGGCAGCGTCTCCGCAACAATGGAGAGCCACCTACCCCCCTGAAGGGAAGCGGATTGCGGCCAGCACGTTCGCCACGCGGGGAGGGCGGGAGGGACCGCGAGAAATGCAGCCCAAACCAACCCAAGCCCGCGCGCGAGAAAAAAAACTGAGCAAGGAAAAGCGAGAAAAAAAGAGCAAGACAAGAGAAACTAAGAAAGCACATCAGAACATCAGCTCCGAGCCGCTCTGCGCGAGCCGACGGCACCTGAGCGTCACAGGGTTGCTTGGTTGCGAAACTGAGCGCACGGGGCGCTGGCGCAGCGGCCGACCCCGCACCGCGACCCAAGATGCGAAGCTCCATGCCGCTCTGCACGAGCGGGCGGCACCTGAGCGTCACAGGGTTGCTTGGCCGCGCAACTGAGCGCGCGGTGCGCCGGCGCAGCGGCCGACCGCACACCGCGGCCCAAGATGCACAGCTCCGTGCCGCCCTGCGCGAGCGGACGGCACCTGAGCGTCGCAGGGTTGCTTGGTCGCGCAACTGAGCGCGCGGTGCGCCGGCGCGACGGCCGACCGCACACCGCGACCCAAGATGCACAGCTCCGTGCCGCTCTGCGCGAGCGGACGGCACCTGAGCGTCACAGGGTTGCTTGGTCGCGCATCTGAGCGCGCGGTGCGCCGGCGCAGCGGCCGACCGCACACCGCGACCCAAGATGCACAGCTCCGTGCCGCTCTGCGCGAGCGGACGGCACCTGAGCGTCACAGGGTTGCTTGGTCCAGCAACTGAGCGCACGGTGCGCTGGCGCAGCGGCCGACCGCGCACCGCGACCCAAGATGCATAGCTCCATGCCGCTCTGCGCGAGCGGGCGGCACCTGAGCGTCCCAGGATGCTGAGTAATGGGCGACGAGATCTGGCCCGAGCGCCCCAAGACAGAGAAGGCGGGGACTGCGTCGACAGAGGGCGTGGATCTCGGCTGCGTGGGGACGATCCGAACCCCAACCAGAGGGGCCGCGAGACGCGCGGCAACATCCCCTGGGCCTACGCGCAAGGTATCCATTGATTCAAAAGCAATGGAATAAGTAAGAAGAGGTAACTCTTGGACAGGTAATGATCAGCCTGGAAAGAATCGATGCAAAGACATCCTGATCAGCCAGTGCCAACCAACCCACCAGCCTGGAGCGAAGCAGATGGAGAACGAAGGGTGCCCGCGAAAACCTTGCTTCCCGAATGCGCAGCCTCCTCAGAAGCTGCGCTTTCCACTTCGCACCTTCTCTCTCCAGACTTGGCAGACGCGAAGCGTGCATGAGAAAAACTTCAATGCCACGAAGTGTGGCTCTTCTGGGGGTGCTGCATCTGCCACAGGCCACGGCGGCGTCATCGCAACAAGGGAGAGCCACCCACCCCACAGAGGCATAATAAAGTTTGTGGATGCATTCTTTGAGTCAGTGGCGGAAGAGCCGCTGCCGCGGGCACCATTCGAGGCAAACTGCGTCCGTTGGACTGTTCCTCCGTGCGAAGAAAATGGTTCCTGAACGCTGCTTGCATGGCGTGGTCCGCTCTCCTGCGCGAACAGGTAACTCTCAAATGAGCGTTTCATTTGCTTGATCCAGTCCGGTGTT